ATAAAAATCATCTTCAGACATTACAAATCTCCTCCTGGGGAAGAAAAAGGCCTCCCCTCCCCCTTTACAAATCCATCTTACCAAAAAACTCAAAGGACTGCAGTATGAGATCATAAATTTTCACTGGACCCTTTTACCTCCACAGAGAAAATATAAACAAATATGTCTATGAATTTAAGGAATAAGACCCCCAAAAAAGGACAAACCAAGAAATAAAAAGGATAGATAGTTTTGCCTATATTAAAATGTAAAGCTTTCATATGAAAAATATACTCGAGATTGCCACAGACCAGGAGAATGTATTTGTAGCATAATCATTGATAAAGGACTCGGTTTTAGAAGATATAAGGGGTATCTGTGAGTCAGTAATAAAAACACAAACATCTAGTAAAAAAATGGGAAAGGATATGGTAGGAAGTCTGTAAAGAGGAATCTCTGAGTCTCTGAGTGGCTATTACACACATGGAAACTGGTCAACCCCATTGGTGGATAAGGAAATGCAAATTGAAATGGTCGCTCAATATGGAGGCAAAAAATTAACAGGTCAAAGTACCGAGTGTTGGGGAGACCTCAAGTAATAGTAGCTAGTCCCATACACCCACTGGTGGGAGGTGGCAATTGGAAAAATTCGAACACTATTTAGCATGATTAGTAAGGTTGACTCTGTCATTACTCTCCTGAGCATATGCCCTGAAAAACTTATCACATCGTAGGCCGGGCTCGGTGGCTCAGCCTGCCATCCCAGCACTTTGGGAGGCTGAGGCGAGTGGATTGCCTGAGACCGCGGGTTCAAGACCAGCCCAGGCAGCTTGGCGAGATCTCATCTCTACAATACAACAAAAATTAGCCGGGCGTGGTAGCGTGTGCCTGTGGTTCTGGCTACTTGGAAGGATGAGGCGGAAGGATCGCAGGAGCCCAGCAGGTTGACACTGGGGTGGCCGTGAACGTGCCACTGCACTCCAGCCTGGGCAATGAAGTGAGACCCCAACTCAAAAAAGAAATAAATAAATAAATAAAACGATCATATCGCCACAAGAGGCCATGCACAAGGAGTTTGCTACAGTTCTATTTGCAATAGTGAAAAACTGGAAACAAACCAGATGTCTGTCTACCAACTGAGGAATGGATAAGCATCCCAGATACACATGCACACAATAGAATACCATTCGCATTAAACATTAATAGGGAAAATGTTATTTTGAAAGGACAGTACAGTATGGATCCGATTATACAGGACTCAAAAATACAGAGGACCACATACCATTTATAGACACATGCATATTAAAAAAATAAAAACATGCATGAAACGTGGATAAAAGGGAGGAGGTTCATAGGATGCAGGGGGTCTACAATTAAGCATATAATGTTTTCTTTCTCAAACAAAATTGAGGACAGCTAAAGGAAAAAGGGCAAAATGTTAACCTGTGTTTGATTGGGATAATGGATATGTGAGTATCAAGTGTTTCATTCTGTAGCCTTGTTTGAATGTTTGAAATATTTTATATTAAAACTAAACATTTCAGCATAAATACATCTGGAAAAGGTAAAATGCTAAGGATTGAGAACAGAGAGACAGTTGCCCGGGGGTAGGGCTTGAATATAAAGGGGTCCCAGGAATTTTGGGGACTGATGGAACAGTTCTTCATCCTGCTTAGGGAGGTGGTCACACAACTGGATGCATTTGTACAACTCTCAGACATGTACTCGTCTTAAAAGGTGAATTTTGGCCAAATGCAGTGGTTCACACCTATAACTCCAGCACTTGGGGAAGCCAAAGCAGAAGGATCACTTGAGGCCAGGAGTTTGAGACCAGCCTGGACAACATAGTGAGACCCTGTCTCTACAAAAAATAAGTGGTATTTTTTGAGTCGGAGTCTCACTCTGTCGCCCA